AACTCATGTGGCCCCAGAGGCTTTTTTGCTTTATCAGGGCTACAGTGGCAGTGGGAACCATTCTCATTGAGTTACAAATACTAGATAGCCTAAGAAAAACAGGGAGATCAAAACAGTCATGAAGTTTATATTGAAACTATATCTTAGCTCTGTAGTATGGAGTCACCTACAGCTGTTTCATTCTTCACCTAAGAGAGATTTTATGTCGATGGGCACATATACTCACAGAGAAGTCTATAGGATGAATATATCTCACAAGGCATCAGCCCAGTCTTTGTTGGTTTTTTTTACAATCAAAGTTAATATGGATCTTTTTCAAAAGTGATGTCACTGAGATTGAAGACAATTATAAACTGTATCAACAATATGTACTACAGCCTGCAAGTCACAATCTGTGCACACCAAATGGAATATATTATTGCTTGTTAGCCTATTAGACTTTCTTTATAAAAAGATTTTTATACAGAGTACAGGATTATGACAAAACTAGCTAAGTAGTTCTCATCTTGAAAATACAACATCGATTCTTTCAACAAAGGCTTGAATAGTAGCTGAGAGTTAATGAACAATAACAAATATTTACTAATAATTCTATGGCCAGTTTGAACAGAATTTCTTATAGGACTCTTTTCTGGTGTTTATTTACATATGCCTCTTTTCTTGTGGAAAAAAGTTGATAAAATAGAACAAGGAACAAGAAATCAAAAGCATGAGTAAACATCATACCAAGAACATTAAACATCTTTGAAAACACTAAATTATCTGTTAAAAAACATACATCATTTTGTCTTTAAAGAAAAATATTTTCCCTGTTTTAAAATATTACCAACAGCATGTAATAAACTAACTTAAAATGAGTCTCATAAAAAAGTTGTTTTGCTGTCTAAACATTACTAAACATGCTTAGGTTGAGATTCTGTTAACTGCCTCAACATCTTAAAAACAGCTCCTTTACAGGAACTTGTGATATTCATACTCCAGAAGACCTGCAAATTTAGAACAGTACATTGATAAAGGATCTGGTAGCTAGAAACAATAAAGATAGATTTTCATTCAAAGCAAATAATTCTGAAATGTCCTTTGAAACAATCCATGGCCAAGAAGTGGGGATGTACTTGGCTAAACAATACAGTCACCTGGCCCTTACCCTGCCCATGGACACGAACATCCATGGACAGTGCCAAAGGGATGCTCCAGCCTGCCCACGCAGCTTTGGCTGTGGGATGAGGACCCACGGATTGGATCACAGAGTGATGACCTTATGTTGGCTCTGTGACATCCCAGCTGTGCTGGGACAAAGGAAAAGCAACACCAGGAGACTGGGAAAGTATCACACCTTTTTCCTGGACAATCCAGGACTATATCTGCGGTCACGGCTGCGTTTTGCTCAGACCACAAAGAGGACAAAGCCACGTGCGAGGCTGTGCTCCCTGTGTGCAGGGGATTCCCACTGTGGAGAGATCATTCTGCTCCCAGCACCAGCATTCCTTTGTTTTCCATGGTAATAGTAATGCAGGTAACATTTAGGAACCAGTTCTCTGTTTTCTCTTTTGACAAGCAATCCTCCCATTACTATTAGAATGTGGTATTCCATGCACAAGGAATGGGGAATCAACCCTGAGCTGGGCAGGTATTTATTATTTATCCCTCCTCAGTCTTACCCCTCATCATTGCTCACAGAACAAAAGTACTATGATGCCTCTTTTTCCTTTTTAAAGTCTCCTCTTCTTCCTCTCTCTCCCCCTCCCTGACTGTAACAGCTTCACTCAGACATAGGAAAAAAAACTCCTTCAGAACTTGCAAAGGGGACCAAAACTCAGTTTTCAGCTGCTCACCATTCTAGCCAACTGCTACTTTTTACACAACCACACTGGCAATCCCAACTGTCATATCACATCACCTTAGACAAACTGGCAAGTCAAATTTGGGAGGGGGAAGAAGAAGGTTAAGCTTTATAAAAATAAGCTACTCCAAGCCTAAGACTTGCCTTGGATGCAATACTGAGAGTCTTTAAATTGAAGGATAACTAGACTTTTGTTTTAACTGCAATACAACATGGTCAGTGCAGGAATCACGGGCATGAGTGAAGCAAGGATCTAGGCTGCAGGGTACTGTGAAACCCTCCTGGCCTCACTCTGCGCCCTGTGAGTGCTCTCAGAAGGGCTCCTGTAAGTCTGCTTCATGAAGGAAGATCAACTGCACTTGCCAGTTCATGTGACTGTGCTGTGTGTGGCAGCCAGGGGTTGCAACGCTCTTTTACTGGGGAGAAACAGGACTTGGAAGTGAGTAGAAACAAAAGCGAGAACCACTGGACTACAATCAACCACGTAAAAAATGCAGAAGAAAACAGGATGGAGCAGACTGTTAAAACTGCCTCCAAATGTCAGAATCTGAGACATTGACAAAAATAACAAGTAGAACTGTAACTTGGGTTTTGTTTTGTTTTTCCTACCCTGACAGTGACATTTCAGCATGATTAAAACCTTACGGAAGATAGTCCTCAGTGTTAAGTAGTCCTATTGTAACTAAACTGATCGTCACTGAGCTTGCAGAGCTTTTGAGGGGTAGGATATACAGACACGTCACATTTGCCAGGCATACAGCAACTGAGCTTTTCAACAGACAGTCATTAAACAAAGTTTTCTGGGGCAATGTTTTTGGCATATATAGTCTCCTACTCCGCATTAAAGACTGCAAAAACATTGCATTTATCTTACTGGACACAGGAAAACCATGATTAACTAGCTATTACTGGTAGATAATGTCCAAACTAAGTACCAATATAAAGTTTTCAGCATAACTTAAGACAAAAGCCCTGTTACTCAGCTGCCAGGTCTGGCATGGACCTGGAGCTCCCCAAAGTCCTTTTAAAGACATAGTTATTAAAAGATCCAGTGCTACAAACCACTAAATCTACCTAATCTATTCTAGTTCATACACATATTGTACAATATTGCCTAGTACTCACTACATACCAAGAGGAAAAGATGCTGACTTGAATTACAGTAAATGTGCTTTTTTTCAAAAAGAAAACTAAAAGAGAGAGCCACAACATAGTTTGACCAGCATGCAACAAACTTTCTTCAGCTAATATATAGAAATTGTCTAATACGATTAGAAAAAATAATTAGTGAGAGGCCAGAGACATATTTGATCAAGGAAATTAAGAGATTTATCTGAAATGTTGAGGCTTTTGCCACTGAAGACTAAAAAACCTATTCATTCTATGTCCCTCATCCTCCTTCCCTCTCCTTTATATTATGTATCTTTTTACAGAGATTACTGTAAGGCCCATTAATTTTGCATCTATCCTGTAATTTATCTCAAAATAATTTAAAATGCCATAGACAAGCTAGGACCAAAAGCAACTGCTTTTACCATCCACTCAACACTCATGCTTTTATTCTAACAAAGCTGAGGTCCACATGCAGAAATAAATGTTCAGTGTGCCCCTACAACAGGTCGAGAATCTGCTCATTCCTAAACGTGACATGGGACCTTCACTTTTAAATCACAAAGTAAAACATCTCCAAAAGCTGATTCTGAGACAGCAGCCCTCAAATCCTCATTAGGAACTAAGACAAAACCTAGCCAAAACAGGTCATTCCACGGAAAATCTCTGGAGATTCTCTGTGATTTGTGGATAAGATGATTTTAATTGTCTGAAGGATCCAGCGCATTTACTCCAGCACGTGACTGCTGACCACAGCTCAGCAGCTCAGAGAACGCGTGTTGCTGGCTTAACCTACAAGACTTTTTTACAGCTAGTTTGCACTTTAATGAACACAATACACATGCTGTGACCACTGCGTCTTCAGATTCCTCACCTACCACCTCTCCATATTTTGGGGATTGCATCTCCTCTTGCAGAACACTTGACAATGTCTGTGTACTACCAAGACTGCCTAAAGCACCTCTCTCCTCAAGGAAGGTTATATGCTCTCCAGCACCTTCTTGTCAGATGACAAACTGAGGTTTCTTTCTTCTGCACCCACAGAAACCTCAATCTCCTCTCCCATGGTAGAATAAAACGGTCCTGTTTCAGGTCAGTCTACAGCACAACAGGAAGGGCAGCATCTCCAGTAGATATGTACCAGCACAAAGGAGATGGAAGAAAAGCAGGAGATAGAAGACATCACGACTGAAGGATGCACAGCAACAAGTAAGGGAGTCAGTAAATTGCAGAACGTTGTTATCTGACAATACAAAACATATCTCAAGCTGCAAGTCTGATGTTCAGCTCCCACTTCTAGTGGCATTTTTTCTGAGCAAAATTGCAGTTAATTAGCCTGCTCAACTCAAACTCTGTTCAGACTGTCTGGTCTAAGTAGGCGCTACTTATTCTCCCACCAAGTATGCTTCATCAGCAGTGTTAGACAAGTAATGCAGTAAAGACACTTGCTGGTAATTTGGCACAGTTTGGAAACACAGCAATGACAGTGTTACAGTTAACATGACTCAGTGATAGGGAACTGATTCTAAAGGAAGAGTTGCAGGTTTCTTTCTTCCTTTCAGGAAAAAAGACCATATAAAAACCCTAATGCTTCCTCTTAAACTTTCTGCTCCTGCTCTTTCAGGTCAGATACTGGCCTCTGAATTTTTCAGATACCTTCTCATGAAAGAATCTGTATTAGAAATCTCTAAGATGCATGGTTAAGAAAAATTCCTTCCTTACTACCCCCAAATTCTTCCAAATGCTGCAACTTTCCAGAGTTAATACTGATCTGAAACAAGGGTCCAAGAATGACAGCGAGAGAAGTGAAACAAGAGGTGTATGTCTAATTTGACAACTAGGACTCATGCCCCACGGCACCTCCTCCTTGGATGGAGAGGGCACAGCGCCCTCCCCCTCGTCTTCTGTCTAAGGTCACTGGTTTATCCTCCTCTTCCAGCTCCACAAGAACTGTTTGAACATGCATTGCGCTTGAGGTCAGAGTTCCAGCAAACAAAACCTTGACAGCATGTTTAAAAAACAAAAGCAGTTCCCCCTTCCTTACTCACTAAGACCTGTCACAGCAGGGTCCCACTGTGCTCTCCAGGGAAAGCTGTGAGGACTGACGCAGGAGCGGGCCTGTAGTGGGATCTACCATCGAGGAGGTTGGGAAAAGCTTGTACCAGCCAATTGCTAAAGTTGACAAATCCAGTTCTTCCAGGAGGACCCTGGCGACTCCCATGAAGTGCTTGCGCTCCATCCTTCCATAGTTCCCCCAGACTATCACCTTAGGAACAAGAGGAGGGAACACAGTTAATCCTCCAACTTGCACACTTGCTTGGGAAGCACAAGTCTAATCAATTCTTCCTTCTACTCATCTAACCTCCTGGGGTTTTACTACAGTCTGAGAAGAACAGAAAGGTTTAAACTACCAACAGATGATGTGAAGCTCTGGCTGATGTTCTTACCTTTTTTTTTAAGCATGGTTTTACAAACCCTAATGTTAGCAGACTTCTCCCCCCACTCCCATGGAAAAGAGGTGACTGTGCTTGTGGATGAGACACCATTCTGCTGTTTTACCTGCTGGGCAGGGACAGCACATGCACATAGTATTCCCAGAGCTGCAGCTCAACACTCGTAGGTAAAACCTGGTCCTAGCACGGTAACAGGCCTTGGACACAACAAAAGGTGGCCCAAGGGAAAAGGGCAGGAAGAGCTCCTGATCTGGGAAAATAACCCAACAAAGAAAGGCAGGCAATAGCTTGGATCAAAAGCCAACAGCTCGAGGAAAAGAGCTCGTCTTAACTTCTGTACTCGGAGCTCGTGACACAGGGCAGATGGTGACAAGGTCAGCAACTTACCTGGGAGAAAGGGCAGGAGCCGACTGCTGGCAAGTGGGAGCAGTGACGCAAGGGGCACACATGGGGTGGCATGCAGGGGAAGCAGAGCACACTGCTGAGACAGGCTTGCAGACACACAGGAAGGTCTAATGAAAGAGCTGGCAGACCAGCAGGGAAAGCTGAATCACACTTACGACATGATGGAGACCAGCGGGTGGAACAACAGATGTAGTGAGGGTCATGGGCTTAGGCATGCTGGAGGTCTGCACGTGGCCAAGTGGCCCTATGTGGCTCAAGACAAAGGTGACGACTGACTCCAGAGTGAGTCCCTGTTCTGGAGAGGAGAGGATGAGCACGATGGGTTATGACAGTGACTAGTGATTTCTGGCTAATCCTGACAGCTTCTTTCCCTAGGCTCCAAATAACCACAGAACTACAGTTTTCTGTAAAATGAGGTAGGAGAGATAACTAATGTCAATTAAAAGACAAAAATTAACACTCTAGGTCAGCATGAAATGGAACAAGCCACTGCAGTAAGCTGGTTTGGTGGCATGGCCACTGGCAGAGAGCCAAGCCCCTCATTTTATTGTCTTCGAGTAAGTGTCTCTCCTGGCAGTCAGGCAGTGGGTAAGGAAACCCATGCAAGGCAAGAGCAGACCAAGCCAGGTCCCACCTCATTCCAGCCAAAATGTGCAGGGGAAAACGCTTCTAACCATCATAGATGAGGAACAGTTCACTAATGAGAAGGATCCAGCAGGATAGCTGGCAATTCATATGCCAGTGGAGATAAGCAACAGAAACTCATGGATTAATAACATCAATATGAGCAGTGGATTTTAGCCAGGCTTTATTGGATGGAAATGATTTAGGTATGAATTAACAACACAAATCACTCTTTGCTCTAGGTGCAGAATTAAAAACATAAGTAGGGTGGAAAATGTATGGTAGTACACAAAAAGAAGTAGAAAAAGGTAGGATATGTGATGGGGTGATGGGCAAAGCACAGTGCTCTGAATATGTATAAACACAGAAGACAACCTATGCTGCAAGATTGTTTAGCACCTGTAGGTACTACCTAGCTCCTAACTGGGTGGGGGAAAAAAAGAATTAGGAAAATAAATTTTCCTGGGAGGTTCTCATGTTACCTGCCAGGGTGTCAAATAATGATCAGTCTGAGTATGAAAAGAAGGTTTTCCTTTCCATTTGTACATGGTTTCTGCACATGCATCTGGTTCAATGAAAACCTTGGCTTTTTCCCATCCGTATTAATTATCCAGATCCCTTGCCAGACTTAGTGTCTTCCAACAGAGGTGGAAGAAAGGGATGGGCAGACCTGAGACTTGCTCATCTTACCTGTAATACTTTGCCCTGGGGACTCTCAGCAAACAGTAACACCTGATTGTACAAAGGGTCTAATGACTTGCGAGCCACTTTTGTCTTCTTTTTTGCAATGCACACACCATTCTCTAGAAGGTAAGCTTTGATGTAAGCAGCTGGAAAAAAATAAAGATGGTCAAATATGGAAAAAAACCTTCATGCTCACTTTAGAAAAGACAGTGCCATGTCTCAGGTATTTCTAAAGAAGGCATTTACAGCACTGAAAAGATTCGCTCAACCAGCCTTATTTTCAGTACTGCATGCAGACTGCTTACTCCTGCAGAAGCCAAGCAGAATTACATTTTCTCCTACTCACAAGCATTGCAGGAGGCTGGAGCTCAGCAAACTACTCGAGGAGGTCAAAGCATACTACCTGGCAGTGTTTTGGAGCCGGGTTTTGGTGTCAGTCCTCGAGCCTGAATGATATCCACTTCTAGCTGTCCGTTTCGCTCTTGCAAGCCAATTTCCACATCCCCTAAACCAAAATGTCAAAACAGACAGAAGACTTTCAAAACAATACATCTGTGGATTACTAAAATGTTATAAAAAACAATCTTCATGTCATGCCTGCTATGAGCTGTAATAAGCTGTAGGCCCTGAGTGCCTGATCTCCTCCTGCATTACACTGGAGCAGCATTACAGTGATTCAAGCCCACGTTTTCAAAAGCAATCTCTACTGCCAGCCCTCTAACATGGCTTTGGTGACTCAGTCTCACACTCTTCAGGGGCTGCTAGCCTCTCATCTCTCCCAGAGGGAAGCAACTAGAACTGCAGGCTGCTTTGGAAAATGCAATTGTGGTGGACTGTAGGAAAACCTTTACAGAGCCTGGTGGGCCTTAGAGAACAAAAAACCCCATGAAGATGCACAGGATGCATTTTCAGGGTTGTAGCTGGTTTTACCTACTCTATGCCTTCCAGATCTGATGGAAGAAAGCACAAAGCTGGTGCTCTCCTATTAACATTGCATTTGCAGCAATCAGTAAAACCTTTCAGCCAAGCTTACTTGATTTAACAGAGAAACAGAGGGAGAGTGGTAGATCAGCAGATGCTGGACACGTTACTAGGTGGCTCGTAGGAGCAGTCTGCTGAAGATTACATTAAAGCCACCTATATCTTTCTGTTCCTTACCCATTGAGGTGGTGGCCAAGGTCTGACGCCCAACAAACTGTGCAGGGCCCATGCTGCCCAGGAAGTCACTAAACTGCCCAGCAGATGCCAGATGGACTCCACTGAAATTCAAGCTGCAAAAGAAATTGATTTTGGCAAGTGGTTAATTTGCATTTTTAAGCAACCCAGTAACTAAAGAACCAGATTTGATATATCTCTGAAATGAATGACATCTACAGAAGCCTTTTTCCCTTGAAAAACTCACTGATTTCCAGGCAGTTTAGCTACATTGAATGCATTTAAAATCCCTTTCCTTGTACAAAAAAAAACCCCAGTAATGGTTGCAGTCACCAGCTGGTTAATACTTGTTTAACTGTAACTAACTGTCTATAAGAAAAATCTCTGCCATGTCAGGCTCATATGAAGTCTGTCACCTCTTCCAGGTAGCACTATAGTCCAAGCAGCTTCCTAGCATAGCTTATTGGATCTCTCTTGGCAGCTGTCCCTTCCCAATCCTCATTTCTGGGGAGGAAATAATGTATCTAGAACAGTAGTTAGAAGTGAGATGAAGGGTGCTAGCATCCATACTCCTGGGGCTCAATTCCTTATTTATTCATCAAAACACAAAGAACAACGCATCTCCTTCTTGACCAGAGGACCCTATTTCCTACTGCTCAACACCAGAAGCATCCATCACATCCACTATGTGGTTTTCATACCTGCTTCTATGACTGGGCCTGAAGCAATCATGATGAGGACCTGCATGTTGGTGCAAGGCTAAAGGACAAACACCCGCAATGCCTCTGCTGCACTCACTGCAGCAAAGCAAAAGCTGCTGGGGAGACAGAGCCTCCAAATCTAGACACCAGGCACCTGAGGCTGGTCTATGGCACAGCTCTAAGCGCTGGTCACAGCACTTGGACACGGGTGAAGAAACACAAAAGGGTCAAACCCTACGCTACACTGATACAAACCAAGGTTTACCCACTTGCATCCTAATTTACCCAGCTTTTCCAGAGATTGTGGGGAAAATTGCTGTGAATTGTAAGGAAGAGGCTTGAGGTCATCATTTGACACCTATATTTCTCCTGCAGGCACTTGCCAAACCACAACAGTGCCAAACTTGCCAAACCTCCTGCACTTCAAGGACTCCAAATGTCCTTGTAGGGGGACAATTACTCACTTACTCATACACCTCCCTGCTCCTCCAAACTCACTTCTTAGAAAAGATGCTGTGAGGAGGCTGCGTGTTGGGTACAACTGAAGTCAGAGGAACCCTGCCTGTGGGGTGGGCTCTCACACAGACTGAGTCAGCCACAAATATTCATTGATTGCCCTCCACAAGCCAATTACATTTAAAAGACATTTTTGAAAAAAGACATATTTTTAAGGCCTATTCAGCCTGAAGAGTGTTTATTTCAGGTTGGGATTTCAGGTCTCAATTAGCTATTTGCAGACCTGGTCTCAGCCCCATAGTAATATTTAGTTATTCAGAGGAGGAATAAGGAAGCCAGCACACACCTCAGCATCGCAGCACACATGGGACTGAAGAGGACACACGTCCTAGTGACAGGTTCAGCTCGCTGTGACAGCAGCACTGAATAAAAGGGCCAGAGTTTTCCATGGAGCACTGCACCTCCCCTCTGTGCTGACCTGGCTCTTTGAGAAACCTGGTTATCGCTGCTACACAGGGAGCTGCTGAGCCATCAGCACGGAAAAACCTGTCCTTGAGCTCTTTATAAATGTCACCTTTGTGAAAAGGGAGGAGGGAGGAGGGTGTCTTGGCATCCTGGAAGCCAGGCTCTGCACTGGGTGGATTTTTCCCACTTTGGTCTTTTTTCACCCTGCCTCCAGTGTTTGCACAAACACTCCAGGTGATATTTTGAGATACAACAGAAACAGCGGGATTTATAATTGGCATGAATTATGCAAAAGGCTTCAGATTTTTCTCAGTTTTCAGCGCCACTCCCCAGAGGCACAAGGCACATCCCCAGTGCCACTGTCCATCCTGGGGGCAGAGGCAGTGCGGGGCCACGCTCTGCTCCCTGCTCCTGCCAGCCCAATGGATAGCCCTTGCTGAGGAGCAGCGCCCTGAGCACAGGAATCCCTGAGCTGGATTTGTCAGGCTCCCACTGACAGAAAGGGCAGAGACAGAGACATCCCCAAGGCTCATAAATCTGCAGGGACAGGGACATGTGATGGGGAAAGCAGGGAAGGGGGAGCCCAGAGCCAGACGGGCTTTAGCAGGCTCATGATTTGCCCATACAAGGAGAGAAGAAGTATAACCTGGTGCACGCAAGGACCAGCAAGATTCCTTGAGCCTGCTGGCTCAGGTGCTTTGAGCTGCCCAAAAAGAGTCAAAAAAGGATGAAAACTAGTGCTTAGAGAACCCAAAATAGTTCAAGAAAAAGGAGACCTGACAGAGAAAGACAGAAAGTTCAGCA